CAATAACAACTAGTATAATCAAGATAAAAGCTACACAAAATCTATTTTACAGGAATCTTTTTTAAATCTTGAATTGTCCAAAAAAAAAAAAAAATCAAAGCTGAAAAGAAGATGAAAAATAATGACCTTTCCTGACAACCTTTCTGAAGTACTCAAGCACACAGTGGGACACAAAAGAAGCCATAGTTACAATCCATCTTAGTTTCTATCCATCACACTAAAGTAACAGCTCCTTCAAATGCATTTCCATTAACATGAAAGGGGATTATCTGCAGACGCGTTCCTTGAAATTACAATTWGTCAYGGTCTTACTCTTAACATAAGTGACACTCAAGAGCTGCCAATGTCCTGGGACACTAACAGTCGTGGGATCATATAAACCTGTGTCTGGTCACTGTCAGAATTGACAAGCCACTATAAGAAAGGCAAAGATGGAAAGCGAATGGGGATTTTTGCATTATAACCAGGAGATAAACTCATAAAAACAAAATCAAAGATCAATCATGCAAAACACGTATATGTGGGTTGTTTCGCCTGTAAAACTAATGACTGTAATTTTTAGGCCTTATTCTTGTTTCTTCTGCTCTGCAGGACAGCCATACATTGGCAAATGAAGATGTGGAAATATAGTGTGAAGTTTTATTTTCATAAATACCAGCATTGTGCAGTTACAAGTCAATATGTATTGTATCTGAAGTATTTACACTATGAGCCAAAGAAAGAAGCCACACTTTTAACAACTTTATTTAGTGTCACTTTTGGGAGTTTATTTGTCCAACAAATAGTAATGCATGAACAAAACTGTTGAAATAAACACAGTTACTAGGATTGTTTTTCAAAAGAATGTATCATAATTTAAATATTTGTATTTGACATATCAGTGCCAAATGTTTCAAACAGTTTATATTMAACATCTATTTCTGGTTGTATTTCTTACAAGTCAATAAATGATGAAGGGCTTAATGAAAATTACCAAAATCTTCATAAAACAAATTATTACACAGATCCTTCATATTTTTTTCAGATTTTTCTGTAATTAGTTGCTGCTATATGAAGTCATAAAAGCTCAGATGACCCTTGGCCTCTGAGGCAAACACAGGTTGTAATATGCAGTCTGATCCCAGAACTCAGGTCCTTTCCAGCCACACCAGCCCTGTTGCGGAAGACAGTGCATGCTAAAACTTGTTATGTATTTTAAAGTGTAGCAATGCTGTGGCTGCTTGTCGAGGTTACCTTGTCTGTTATGACCTGTAGGTCTTCTCCTCCAGTGTAATGAGGATCTAAAATGAGGTAACGGATGTGCCCTGTCGTYTCGCTCCAGGCCACACCCAAGATGGTGTGAGCCAAAACTCCTCCACCTGCAAACGAAATGAAACGAAAAGCCTTAAGATTGTGAACCTTTACTGAGAATTTCTAACAGAATCCCTCTTTTACAAAATTAATAATTGATTCAAATGTTGCTCAGTGACACGCATTAACAGGAAAAAATATACATATTGTAGTTTTATAAAATATAAACCCTAATTCTGACATAAACCTTTCAATCAATCACTGAAAAACTGAATATTGAAGGCTTAAATGTCTCACCGATCATAACAGGAGTTCCTTCAGTGACGAAGTGGTTAGCCAGCTCTCTGCCTTTAGATGATAACTCAGATCCCTGACTGAACATGAAACATAATGTGTCTGATTAATTAAAACAAATAACAACCAACACATTTACTGGATGCTGTGTAAAAGGGCCTGTGACAATCCAATTTTTGTAATTAATAGGAATGTATTTTTGTAAAGAGCATATTGGTAACATTGAAAAAGAACTTTTACGCACGTGAAGTGATGTCGAAGAGGAATGTCTGAATGTAAACTAACAACTCAAAATGTAGAGAATAATCTGATGTTTCTTTAGATTATTTTTGAGTCACTTTCAGACAGAGAAGAAGAGTCAGAGTTCAAATAATATTGTTTCAATGAACAAAGACCAGAGAGTTTTGTTTGTTAAAGAGTTCCCTTTTGACGTCACTTCCTGTTGCACTTTGGCTGAGCTAAGTTCAAAGGAAAATATGCCAGTTATGTGACAAAATGGGTAAAATAATGAGAAATATGCCAAGTCTTTTACAGGGTTCCCACACCTTGGTCAACGTGAAATTCATGGACCTTTCAAAGACTTTCCAGTACCAATTTCCTCAAATTAAAGAACCAAGCACAACGAAAATTACCTACTGCTAC